GGAGCCTGCAGTCTGGTAGAGAGCTAAGAGCATCAAGAAATATATTACAATTGTAAATGTGTACCTTAGATGGGGAATGAAGTCTGCCAGAGTCCTTCAGAGGCAGTAGATGGACGCTGCTGTTTGGGAGTGTGGAGGAAATGATAGACGTCATGGAAAACATGACCTCGACATTCTCATCAAATGGAAGAAGCATTTTGTCATTTGGGATCTAGTTTGGCAAAAAGAATTTTGGCAGGGAGAGACTGTGAATGGAGAGGGGCTGTTCTGGTAGAGGAAACCTCATGCAGGAGACGGAAGGAAATGACCACTTGAAGGCCTGAAGTGAGCTTTCAGTAAAATAATTGCCTCACATTATTATATTTAGGAAAGCACAGAATGGCCTAGTGTGTTCAGTCGGGTGAGTGGGCTGGAAAAGCAGGCTGGAGCCTGGTCCAGCGAAGCTGATGTTGTCAGTGCCCCTCTCATAAGCCCTCTGGCCTTACCATTGTATGCCAGCCTGCCAGTATCTGCATCTCTTTGATGCAGGTGGCCCAGTCTGCCCTCATGCAGGTAGGAAGTGCATTCCTCCCTTTCCCCAGGATCTGTTAGCCCATGACTAACTAGAATTGGTATATAAATATCCCTGCTCCCTTGCCCCTCGGGTCAGGTTAACTCTGAGACATATGTTTCACCATCATTTCCCAGAAGTCCCCAACAGGATTAAGTTCAGTTGCCCACAATTGTAACTTGTCTAATAACACATCCTTATTCACTGTCTTCCCTTTCCTGTCTCACTTCCCCGCTTCCTACTGATGTCTCCTGGTATCACTTCCAAAATATATTATAGACACTCAAATTTTTTTATCTCAAGAGCTGTTTCTGGGGAAACTCAATCTAAAACATCATGGAAGACCTGGGATCCTGAATTAAGAAGATTGGACCTGGAGCAATAAATGCTTCTTGAATGCCAAATCATAATATGAATGTTAGTTATTTTGACAATCCTTATCTCATTGCACTGTACGAATTGCACTGTGATTACTTGTTGGCATGCTGGTTCTCCCATTAGACCTTGAACATTATTCGCAGATAGTGTCTTATAAACTGCCATCCTCTCCGCATTCTCTCCTGTGACTGTGGGGGATCTCCCAGCCAGCCTGCACCTAGCTGGGTACATATTGCTACACAGTAGTCCAAGAATGCACACATCCCAATCTCTGCCCTCACTTTGAAGATCTAACCCAGCCTAGTGTAATGCCAAATTTCTGCACCTAGTATTGGTCACAAATTTCCAAGATTTCTTCTTTTATCATCTCCTTTCTGTCTAAAGAACTTCCTTTGGCCATCCTTTGGAGGCAGGGAGCCAGGACTTTCACCCCCACCAGCAGTAATAAGGTATCTCTTCCTCGTATAAATGGATTACATGTACCAGTTAAAAGGCAAAGGTTGACAGAATAGATTTTTTTAATGATCAAACTATATGCTGTCTGTCTATAAGAAACTCACTTGAAATATGATATAGGTAGGTTAAAAGCAAAAGGATGGAAAAAAGATACAGAAAACAACTATTAATCAAAAGGAAGCAGGCCAGGCTATATTAATATCAGATAAAGTAGACTTCAGAGCAAAAAATTTACCAGGGACAAAGAGAGACGTTACTTAATAAACAAAAGAGGTCAATCCATCAAGAAGGCATAGCCTCTTAAACAGCAGAACTGCAGAATGTATGCACCAAACAGCAGAGCTGCAAAATATGTGAAGTAAAAACTGATAGATAGAAATGAAAAGAGAAACAGTCAAATCCAGAATTATACTTGGGGATCTCAACATCCCTCTATCAACAACTGATAGAACAACTCTACAGAAACGTGGCAAAGATACAGAAGAATCCAGCAGCAGCATCAACCAGTAGGATCTGACTGACATTTATAAAAGGCTCCACCCACCCATCGACAGTGGAATACACATTTCTCTCAAGTGCCTGAGAAACACATACCAAGGTAGACTACTTATTCTGAGCCATAAAACAAACCTCAAATTGAAAAGAGCTGACATCATACAGAGTATGTCCTTGTACTAGGCAATAGTTTCTTGATACTAAAAGCACAAGCAATCAAAGAAAAAAGAGATAAATTGGACTTTATAAAAATAAAAACTTTTGTGCATCCAATGGGCACTCACAAGAAAGTCAAAAGACAACCCACGGAGTAGGAGAAAAATATTTGCAGATCATATAACTAATAAGGGTCTAGTATGTAGAATATATAAAGAGCCCTTACAATTCAACCATGAAAAGGCCAAGTTGAAGGATTTGAATAGACATTTCACCAAAGAAGACATACAAATGGCCAAAAAGTGCATGAAAAAGATGCTCAACATCATTAGTCATAAGGGACACATAAATCAAAACCACAATGAGTGCAGGTAGGTAGGTAGGTAAATCGATCAACCAATAAACCTTGACCTAAAGCTCACACCTTATACAAAAATTAACCCAGACTGGATAAAGAAGAT